CATTGTATAGTAGCATTAAGTACCGTAATGTGCACCTCTGCCTACCCCTTCGGGAATAAAAGGCGTGATGTTATGTTATAAGGAAATTTCTAAAAATGTATCAAAAACTAATGACAACCCAGTGGTAAAAATGTTAAGAATTATTCTGAAACGTGTGTATTTTAAGATTTTGTTTTTCTATATTAATCTTGCATTTAAAACCAATCAATTGATTTTATAATAATCATCTTTAATGTTAATAGAAAATAAAAGCATAGATAATTAATTGTCACATTTTTTATTTTATCAAACAAAATATTTTTTATAGTCTATTATAACATACTCACATTTGAAAATTAAAAACATCTTCCCATACTATAAACTGAACAACGATTGTTCTAAAAAATCAACCAACATGATTATAATAATATCTATTAACAGATAAAAACGAAAACTACTAATAATGAGGACAAATAATGTGTCTCATTGCATTTAGATTAAAGTTGTCTAAAGGGTCTCTGCGCAGTTGGCTATGGCCCCTCGCATACCTCCCAAATGACTGGGACCATGACGTGATCCCGCGATCGGTAAGGACAAATCTATATATCTATACTAATATTATAAAGAGGAAAGATTTGTACCTATTTTTGTATGTTTGTAATGAATAGGCTCAAAAAGTACTGGGCCGGTTTAAAAAGTTCTTTCACCATTAGAATGCTACATTCTTCCAATTTGACATAGGTTACATTTCATTTGTCAACAATGTAACCGAAGGTGTAGAAAAATGAGTATTAAAATGTCTTTCGTCGAATGCGCTGCCGAAACTATTAGCGATAGAACAAAATAATATACAACAATATTGAAGAACATCATAATGTCTACAAAAAACTTCGCGGTAGCATATGTCCAACTACTGTAGTTATTTCACTACAACAATTCAAATTTCCAAAAATAAATAATTGTCTACCCCGTGCGAAGCCGGGACGGGCTGCTAGGTTAAAATAAAGTCGTGTTAGTTACGGAACGGCTAAATCGACTTGGATGAAAATCGGTGAAGAGATAGCTTAGAACCAGAAGACGGACAAAGGATAATTTAATTCAAGGATTATCCAAAAATCCTACGGGAATGGGGAAAAAACATGATTATGCGTACGAGGTCGTGGGCAGAGTCTAGTATATCTAGTATATACAAAAAAGTGATTACTGATCAGTCTTTTATATAATTCGACTTCCAAAAAACGAATTCTGAATTCCTATGTTCCTTCAATATTTCTATTGTTTATCTCCAAACCTTTCTATGAGATCAAATTCAATTCCACGTTTCATAAGTCAACGGCAACACTGCGTTACAAGCGCTTTTTTATGTGATTAGAGTCGCAGAAGCATCACCTGATGGTAAGTCATGGACACCCGTAATACTGGCCTTCAGACGGCTTTGCAGGTTATCGGGACAACGGCTCGCAGCAGGAATAGGAACGGAGTGATGTTTAGTCAAAATAGTCTGACACTCCTTCTCACTTTACTAATGGCGAAAGAGTTATTGAATCGTTTTCCCCCCTTAAAAAAAGGAGTTACAGGGCGTGTTACCGACCTTTTAAGAGATTGGGGATGTTTTTTATGAAATAAGCCGGTACACGAGCATACGGTGATGGTAAGCAATCTGCGCCGCCCATAGACAGGAATAACCAGAGGTGTTACAAGTGTGTTACCGGCCTTTTGGGGATTAGGAATTTAAGGATTATTTGGGATTCGGGTAACCTCCCTAGGTCACTGGATCTCCTGTTCCCATGTTGCCGGCTTTTGTCTAATACCTAGCATAATATTTAAGTAGTTGTAGTGTTAGCGTCTGGTATGGTTTCAGTTTCCATGAGATCGCCTTTGCCGGCCTCTTTGAGGTTTATCTCTATGAGAGTGTCCAGTTCTGGGCTCAGCAGAACTGAGAGACCAGCTGTGAGAGGCACCTGGAAGTTAGAAAAGACAATTACGAAGAGATAGATGAATAAATCGATTTTAAAGAACTACCTACTTATGTGTTGTATGCCCAAAATTCCTTTGCATGAGTATAATTACTTAGCGTAAATAAAGTAATGAAATATTAAATTGTACACTGTTAGGATATTCTGTTAGAAGTCCATTTGAACTCTCAAAGTAGGTAAGGTCGGTCGTATTCTCGCTCATCATTGGTCGAGTTTATTCTCGCCAATGACATGGTGGACCGCGATCGAGCTTACAGGACAGCCTAGCTTACTAGCTGTGAGGGAACTTACCTCTGAGAACACAGGCTTCGACGCTTCCCATCGTTCCATATGGTTTTCAATGATTTTAGTACAAACCGCTGCTTTAGGTATTATCTTGCCGATCAATCTGTAATAAGAATAGTTAGTAAAATATCATTTGTTTAACATATGAGCCGACTAAAGATCTGTGTAAAACCTAACTCTTTTATATGCGAGGAGTCTTCCTCCGCGAGACTCTGCGAGGAGTCTAGGAGAGGAGAAAATAAATGCATTCTACTCGTCATCACCACCCAGCGTAATAAGACCTAAAATTATGTTAGTATTGTGTATCAAAATGCTTAAAACTTGTTTATTGTTAATTAAATATTATCTATGGATAAATTATAGTGGCAACACTTACGACGTGGATTAAATACTCTTTGGTTTAAAACTAATCAGTGTATTGCAAAAAACTAACGACTTTCAATCAATAATGTGGTCTTAATTAAAGTAGCTCACTCATATAGCGGCAGGCAGATGGTCTGCAGGAACTGTATCTCCAACTCCGGTATGAAGCACTTGTCACTGTCCATAGCACTGGTTGGCGAATCCCCTCGCATCTTCTCCAACTCGCCTTGCTTGAAGAACTCCGTTAAAACCGCCGCCTATTGTTAATCATAGTTTTTTTTTTTTTATACACCACTATCGTTAGGATCTCCTAAGCATTTTAAGCCGTTTGTGCATTTTACACCCGATTAAACCACTGAAAGGATGACTAACTTCTTTTCGTTTTTAAAAATAATTGGTAATATTACCTACTTATGAAGTTATGAGCAATGGATATTGTTCATCATTAGGGACTAGCTAGATTCCTACTATAAGATAGATGGGCTCGCAGCGCAAGTAACAACACCGACGCAAGCGCCAACGGTGCATGACATCGCCGCGCGACCGCGCACACTGCTCATGTGGATGAATCCCTCTGAGGTTCGAAAGTAGTAGAGCTTTCCTCAGTATTTCCACGTGAGTAACCCGCGATTTTTTAATTAATTTAGATATGTAGCATTTCGCCAAACACCAAATTTAGTTTTTGGTGAACTTCACCCATACAAAGGTCTGTTATAAGAGAATACTACAAGGTGTTACTAACAGCAGTTTTCTTCACGCAACCCCAGTCTTTGAGCTGATCGCTGAGGTCGGCCGCGTTCATCAGCAAGGCTTGTAAAGCAGCAAAATGTGTTCGGTTGCTCTTTTGATAGTCCATCGATACTATTTTATACTCGTCCAAGTTCCTATAATGGTTGAAAAGTCAAAAGTTAAAGCCTTATTATAATAGAGGCTGGCAAATCATCTAATGACTCCTCCCTTCCTTGGTTGAAGCAGAATGGAGTTATAGTAAAACACAACCCCGATGATGATATACCACTTACATAACTGTTTTTTTTTAATTCGGCATAGGACTAGCACGCCAGACAAGACATATGACAATAAAAAGGTATAAAAACAGAAATATAAAAAGCTAACAGGTAAATTATAAAACTAAAACTAAAACAAGCCAATAATATAGGTGTAACATACTGCGCGGTGTTGGCGGACATGCCCAATAATAAAAAGCATAACATCACGCCTTTTACCCCAAAGGGGTAGGCAGAGGTGCACAAAGAAGTAACGCCCACTTTTCACTATTTATATTATGAGTCACATGTAATAGGGGGTGCGCCGATTGCCATATACCGGGACATTTCCAGACTCCGTGCTACTAGGTACTGAGATTTTTTTTTAAACCCAGTAATATACCACTTACTTGAAGTAATTAGCTAGATCGGTAGCCAAAATATTGTCTCGAAGCATCATGATGGCTCTGTCGTAATCCCTTCGCGGTAGCGACTCCAGAATGTCACATCCCTCAGTGTTGAGTATGCACATAGCCTGTGCCAAGTGGTGGCGCTCCATAACGCTACCCTCGCTGGAGTAAAGAGCTGCTAACGTCGTTTCTGTGTGGATGATATTCATTTTTTAAGTCGTTTCCTGGTATCTTCTGCTAAGTTGAAGTCTATGAAAGCTAAGCTAGTATTATAATTTCAAAGAGACAATAAAAATTAAAATTACGAAAAACAGTACCTACTGCATAGTTATCTCCACAATGTATTGTTCCGAGTCTGGTTACAATTAATTGACTTACCCACGACGTAAATCTAGATCTACCTAAAAACATTTAACAATAACGGCAAGATATCTTACCTCCGTGAATCTGGAAGCTATTGGTGGTGCCGCGATGGTCTATATCATGCATGAAGGCCGCTACCAAATACATTAGGGCTTGCAAGTCACTGCGCAAAAAAAACTATGATGGAGACTGGTGAAGCACCTGTCAGAAGCCTTGTCGATAATAATACTCACGTGAAGTATCCATGAGCGACGAGCTTATAGTTCATGAGTGCAGCAAATGCCCACTGTCCCACGTTGAAGGCATGAGTCCAGCTGTGATAGGGCACGTCACGGTAACCCTTCTTCACGTATAGAATAAATCGGGATATCTTCGGCGGTTTGATATTGAACCTAAGAACACAATTTTTATACCGATGATAGGTTTCCACATCACATCAAAAACCTCTGACATTCCACTGTTAATATGAAAGTCTCTTCTACTGGAGGTTTTTCCATAACCACTATAATTGGCTGGCACGTTGATACGTTGTTCAAGAGATTCAAGTTTATGGTCAGAGACCGCTGCTGTCTCGGCCCCGCATGAATCAGTTCCCATCAATGGATATCTATAAGATAATCCATAAGGGATCTACCTTCTCTCTACCTATGGCATTCCTGTGCCACCCATTTATTCTTTCATCATATGTACGTCGATATGACGTAAAGAAAGGGCAATATAACATAACAAAACGTACGTACTTTACATCATATCCAAGGTCTGCAAACATCTTGGCGGCATAGCAGGGTAGTTCCCGCAGTGGTAGTGCGCGAGGATTGAAGTGGAGAGTGGTCACGTGAGGGTGCTGGTGGAAGCCAGTGCAGCCCAGCATACGGGACACTTCAGCATCCGTTACCTAACATTTATCATGACTACAGTTAAGTAATAAGTAGATTAAGAAGTCTTTCAATAGCGTTACGAGTCAAAAAGACGAAAAACATCCGATTCTTGCTGTTTCAGTTTGCCAACTAACCTTCATGTGGTACATAATAAGTTCGTTAGCCAGAGCGTTCCTAATGTGAGCTTCCTGAATCTTCTGGTAGACCACGGAGTGTAAGATGCAGACACCGCAGTAGATGCTGAAAGCCAGTGCCATCTCCTCATCCATGCCGTCAAAATAAGGGTCCGTTATCTTGTTTATCAGTTGGCCCACACCAATGATTCCCGTCTGCTCACGTATTGGAAAACACAGGAGATTTCTGAAAGGGCCAACCACCTTTCATAAGGTATGATAACATATATAACAGTCATTAGGGGGAAAGCATATTACTACTTAACGGTACGGACACAATTCCAAACTCTGTGCTATACTGACAAGTTTGCAGAAAATACGAAAAAACTACAAATACCGTTTGACCCGAGATAAAATCAGTTCCTCTTTATGTAGATAGTAAAATAAGTATTTTTTAAGCTGGATAATCATCCAATGACTCTTCCCGCCTTGGGTGAGGCCAAAGGGAGTATCAGACTCTTACGAACTAAAAATTACCCTGTCCCTACTCTTACTCTAAGCCAGAGCCCCTTTCGCGGCTCCGGTGAGCCCTTCAGGACCCCATCTGTGGTGGTGTGATGGCTCTTTGAGGCGCATGCGGAACACGTCCCACCGTACGCGCCATACGGTGGTGTATAGCACTGATCGGGCAGTGAGCTACTCTTGCTCGCCGTCCGCAGCCCCGTGCTTACGGTGGCCGTAGATCTTCTAGCGATCCCCGACTTGTCTCCCGCAGCGGTTGGGGCGTGAGGTGTTTTATTAAGTACCTGCACTCAAGATTTGGTATTCCATCAATTACGGGATTATAAGCGGGATGTTCCTGTGGCACTCGAGTGTTGATCAACGCCCCAGTCTTGATCACCTCGCCTGCGATGCCCATGCCCAGTGGAAATCGGCGGCCTGAAGATTCATCCTAAAATCAATTAAACTGGCATTACTTGACTTTTTTTTAAGGGGGGGAATATCATCGAATGCTGCTCCCGCCTGGGTGAAGCGGGAGGGGGTGTCAGACTCTTACTGACTAAAAACCACCCCGTTCCTTCTCCTGCACGTCGAGCCGGAGCCCCGGTTACCCGTTAGGTTCACTTGTCAATGACAAATTGCAAGTGATTGCTGAGAGAGTTCAATCAATATAAGGCACAGTTCAAAATAGTGACCATAAAGTAGCGAGTAGTAAAATCTAGCATGATAGGTCTTCCCTTGGGATAAGCCAACGTTTGCCCCCGACTTCACTTTAGTGGCATAAACACATCACGCAATAATGTTTCTATTGCAGGGATACATTGAAGCTCCGTGCTACTGCTGAGGATTTTTTGAAACAGTTATTAAAAAGTATCCATGTACTTATCTAATACTTTGGTCGACCCACAAAAATTAATTTAATTTTGTTGTGGGTCTGTATTATTCTTCTTTATTATATCTATGGGAAGACGTGTAAATCGAAATCCTTACTTAAAAAAAAAAAACTTTGCCCACACTAGGATTTTCCTCTGTGTAGTGGGACACCCAGACCAGAAACAACAATTTGTGACACTCACAAAGTGTTGCTGCGTGCGGGAATCGAACCCGCGACACGTTGCGTGTCAGCCGGTTGCCCAATGCCCAGCCACCGCACAAACCGTCGCGTCGCTACTTTCTATAAACAAGCATAATTTAAGTAAAATTGTGTCAAAAACCTTATAAGTGGAGCAGGACTCGTACAGCTGCATGTTATCGACATCAACTAGCCACACGATGCATTGTTCAGCCTTTGTCAATTGTTTTGCTTGACCCATTGCAATTTTTAGCAAGGTATCTAACGATGCTACCTGAAAACACATGAAATAGTATTAAACGATAATTGATGCCCTATTTGAAATGTTTATTAAAATTTAAATGAGAGATAAATAAGAACTTAATAGATCTACAATAACTAAAGGCGCTGTTGGCGCAGTGGCAGGGCAATTGGCTACCGCGCAACCTATCGCAAGTTCGATTCCCGCACGGAACAACTCTTTGTATGATCTACAGATTGTATGTTTGTTAACGCAGCCACGACACAGGAGAGAATATTAGTGTGGGGCAACGTTTTTTAAAAATGAGAAAGCCTCGGTGTAATTTGAAAATTACAAACTAGTTGAGCAAGCCCGAGCAGTGTCTAAGAGTTAGTCGTAATAAAACTGAAATTAGGAGTTTGTGTATAGACATCTACTTTTATTGTTGTATCTATTTACACTTAAAAACAGTTTACCTACTTGAGTAAATAGTCTTTTGGCGACGCGCAACAGTTGTTGGCATTTTACTTTCAAAGTATTTTCGTACTCCAAAGCAATCGTCTTCTTCAACGTTGGCCAGACGAATCTATAGACACCGTTAGACACAGAATAATTAAGAACAATAATAGACACAGAATTATTAAGAAAACCTATCTATTATATTTAATTATTTTATTTTATTTTATTTTTATTTTATTTATTTGGGAAAACAAACAGCGACACATTACATGATACATTATGACACAATACATAGGTAGTTCCAACAAATGTGTAACCAACGGCGTTTTCCACAGAATATAAATTAAATCATAAACACCATCACACAAACTTATATAACTAATAAAATATACTAAGAAAACATAAATAACATTACGCCTTTTGATCCCTGAGGGGAAAGGCAAAGTATGATAAATAATATAATTTTTTGTGGTTATATATGGTTCAGAAAAGAGAGAAAAAAAAACATGTTGAGACTTTTACAAATTAAATGAAAATAAAATGAAATCACTATAAGACCGGCCAGCATAATCAAATTAAATTAAATTTAGCTTTATACAAACAAATGAAAAACGAAAAAACGAAAAAAAAAATCAATTTTAATAATCAGTAAGTGATTCTAGTACTCTGACCTTAAACTGTTTGGCACTAAAAGAAAACATATCAATATAGTGGAAATCCTTATTATAAGTTTCCATCAGTCGGCGTAGAGGCGCTCGCAATCCCGCGTTAGTTCGACAGGACGTCAACGCAAACTGAGGACGCGCACGTACCCCTCGGTGTATTGTGGTTCTAGGCACTATGTAACTTATGCTGTTACGAATTTCAATACAGTCATATGCATTTCTACAAAGATCATACAAAAACACTGCTCCTAGGAGATTACGCCTGGATTTTAATTCGAGCAATTTGTATCTTTTGCGTATAACTTCGTATGACACAGAAGCATTAAAACAACGATAATGCATTGCCCTCAAAAACTTACTTTGTACTTTTTCTATTTGATCCGAATATTTATTGTAAAAGGGATTCCATACCGACACCGCATACTCAAGCTGCGATCTGATTAAAGATTTGTATAAATACAAATAAGTCGTGGGACGCCTGAAGTCTTTAGAAGATCTCATTACAAAACCATACATGCGATAAGCGTTGTTCACAATTCTGTCAATATGACCATTAAGGTGAAGTTTATCATCAAGAAGAATCCCAAGATCACGAACGACGGACACCCTTGACAACAAAATCCCATCAAGCGAGTATGCATAGTTAATGGCATTCCTGTTCTTTGTGAAGCTTATACAACTACACTTATTTATACTGAGCTGCAATTTATTTTTTCTACAATAATAAGTAAATCGATCTAAGTCTTCTTGTAGTAATCTACAGTCCTGTATATTAGTAACTGGTCGAAATACTTTCAGATCATCAGCATAAAGCAATAATTTTGAGTTACGGAAACAAGTGTTAACGTCGTTAATAAATAAAATAAAAAGAAGAGGTCCCAAAATCGAACCCTGAGGCACCCCGGAAGTAACGCGAACAGTATCAGATTGAAAGCCATTAATGACAACTCTCTGAGTTCTATTCCTGACATAAGAAGAGAACCAGCGCAATAAATCTCCGCGTATACCATTGTATGAAAGCTTTTCCAATAGAAGACTATGATCAACCTTGTCGAATGCCTTCCGAAAGTCCGTGTATATAGAGTCCACCTGAACCCGAGAATCCATGTTCTTAAAAATATAGTCAACGAAGGTTACTAAATTAGTCGTGGTTGACCGTTTTTTAACAAAACCGTGCTGTTCTTGCAATACGATATTGTGAAGTACAGGGTATATTTTATTATGGATTAAACGTTCAAAAAGTTTTGGGATTGCAGACAAGATGGAAATGGGACGGTAGTTTTCCACGTCCTGTTTAGACCCGGATTTATGGATTGGTGTAATGTTGGCTACTTTCCAGGCCTCCGGAAATGTCCCCAGGGCCAGTGATTTATTGAACAATATTTGTATGGGGGTGCACAGGCTTTTTGCGGTTTCTTTAAGAAATACCACCGGGATTTTGTCAGGACCAGGCCCCTTTGATAAATCCAGCGCCTTTATAGACCTCAGCACCTCACTAACGCTGAATTCAATCCCATGGATAATGGAACAGTTCTCGGAAATAGCATTATTCGTGCACGGCATGTCACTACACGAGGACCCCGGTGGCTCATAAACGGAGTTAAAAAAGGCAGAAAATAGGTTACAAACATCTTCAGGTTCGCTAGCTATTCGGCTTCCGTACCTCATTTCAGAGGGAATGCCGGTAGCGGATCTGCGTTTCGCAATATACGTCCAAAAGCTTTTGACATTATTTCGTATACCATCTTCAACGGAGGTAATATACTTATCGTAGCAGTTTTCACATTCCTTCTTAAATCTGGATCTGTAAAGGGAAAACTGTTCATAGTCCGATAAATTTTTATACTTTTTCCACCTTACCCAAGCTCTACTTTTATTTTTGTAAATATGAATGAGAGAAGGCGAAAACCAGACTGGAAATTTGGACGATTTTGATTTTACTAAAGGGACGCACGATTTTATTATGTTGTATATTATGTTGTAAAAGTTGCTTAATGCCTCGTCTATAGTCAGGTTTGGTCCCATTCTATCATACCAATCAATGTTCCCCAGTTCTTCATTCACCCTCTCATAATCCGCTTTAAAGTAATTGTATTTCTTATCTGAACTTCTAACCAACACTTTGTAACGTGTCTTAAATGGAATTAATATACAGAGGGGCGGATGGTAATTATCAGACTGTAACAACTGGTTAGTGGGGTTGGAAACTGAGCAACTGTTATTACTTATGATCAAATCCAACAATTTTCCGTTGCAATTCTTAACAGTATTGTATTGAGAGGCATTAAGACACGACATAAATTCACCCAGAAGCTCACAAATAGGAGAGGTACCGACACAGGTTAATCCTGCAGACGGTAATATATCATTGTCATATGTTGCCCAGTCGACACCGGGTAAGTTGTAGTCGCCCAACAAATAAAAGTGTTCGATATCATCATCACTAAACAAACTCTGCAATAAATCGAAGTATTGGACATAGACACACTCAGGTGTTCTCGGCGGTACATAGCTCGCAACAATCATTTGGTTCCCAGATCTGCCGTCACCGGGAAGCCTCAGAAGAATAAATTCGACGTGTGTTTTCAGTTCAGATGGAGGGAATACCCTCACCGAACGTAAATTTTTCAACACAGCGATGAGAACGCCACCTCCATCCTTTTTATTAGTGGCCGTACGATCACGGTCACATCGGTGCACTACGTAACGATTATCGATAAACTCATTGTCAAATATCTCAGATGTTAGCCAAGTCTCGGTAAGCACTATGACATCGTAACAATTAGACAGTATATTCATATACAGAATATGCAGTTTGGTACGAATCCCCCTACAATTTTGGTAGTAAACTACTAAGTTATTGGCCATTGTGGTAGTAAGTTTTTACAGACAGCGTCAACATGTTACTTGTCGTTCTTAACATAGCAATATGCAGAAAGTAGTAAATACAAATACGCCTTAAGATTATATCATAGCAATAATTGACAAGCAAACCTCCACAGAAACAAACTAAGATAAAAACTACAACGATGTTACATGCATTATGCAGCAGCAAAAAGAAAGCCACAAATCCACACGAAAGCGCCAAGAAGAAGAAAACAGCATAAGCCGAATACATTAGCAATATATACATTTCAAAAAGAAGTACATTAGTAATATTTATGTAATTAGACACCTAATTTAACAAGTTGCATTTTATACGGGGTCCGGCTCGAAGGGCAGGATCAGGAACGGGGTGGTTTTTAGTCAGTAAGAGTCTGACACTCCCTGCCGCCTCACCTAGGCGGGAGAAGTAATTGGATGACTTTTTCCCTTAAAAAAAATACCCCGAACAGGTACAACCGAGATATATGTATACCTATAAGGAATGTAACCGTAAACCGAAAAATCTAAATCTTTTGTGCAACTTGTGAATTGTACCTACTTACCTACACGACCAACGCGGAAGTATAGTTTTTTATATTTGTATGCCTAACAAAATAAATAGGTAGATATCTAATCAATTATCATATTACGTACAGTCCACATTCGTAAATTATGACTGGAACGCTGCTTTCTTCTGTTTTCGGTGCCACTATACAGAAAATTACGGAAAATGGAACGTCGATGACGGCAAACAGAACCAGACGCTTCTTTATGATGTCTTTTCCTAAATGCTGCAATAACAGGTAAGGAATAAATGAATGAGGAAGATGGAGGTCTTTTTCCTAAAGATTTTATTCAGGTATCATCATAAGTTTTTTGCGGTGTAGGGCGGCAAACGAGCAGACATGTCACTTGATGGCCACAGATAAAATAAATAATACCTACTTTTTATATTTCTGTGGACGCCGCCCATGGACACTCACAACACACGACGGACTTACAAGTGCGTCGCCGGCCTTTTAGAGGTTTGGGATTTGGGAGTCGAAGATGGGGGGGATTGGGGAAATTATTTACTTTGTAATGTCTAAAACCTCTTGACTCTATACTGTAGGTACCTACTACTGTAAAAAGATAACCACTCAAAGGTTTTCAACATCATCATCGTCATTTTAATTTTATCAGTCGAGACATATAGGTACATATGGTCAACAAATGCCTCCCATATTTTAAAATGGGTTTAATACTTTCACAGTTATCCTCATGTCCCCATTTGGTCACCAATTCACCATAGTGAACAGGCACGTGACTATTGGGTATCGCGGAATGATAACAGAGGGACAGAGAGAGCGATGTCGCCCATTCCACGACTGCTGATCACAATTTAAGGTATCCTAGTACCTAATATTATATTTCTTTTAAATTTTAATGTTTGTTTGTTTTTATTCCTTCACGTCAAAACGGCTGAAGAGGCGGAAATGAAATTTAGAACAATAATTATTTTATTCTAAATCTTTTATACTTACGGGAATAAGAATACTCTGGAAATCCTCCCCAAAGTTAGACAGAAGATCCGTTTGTTCAACATTAGTTTTTAACGTGTCTAAAAGCTTTGAAGATAACTGTTGAAAAGATTAATGTTTTGATAGTAATAATACTAATAAAATGTATGATAGAGGCTTTATGATAGAGGATAATAAACATTAGGATTTCGTACGCACTGGTCAACTAGTACACAACCTATACCAGACATAAAGTCTAGGTTCGACCTTTTACAAATGAAACAAGGTAGGGCAACACACTTTACTAAGCATGAGAACGTAATTAGTTAGAAAAATATCTAATAATAGTTTGCCCTACCTATAAATCGAACACAGAAGTAAGCTGCAAGCATCATTGGTAGGTAGGTAAGTAGGTAATAATGATAATTATGTAAAAGTAACTAGGTAAGGTAACATACGTGAATTTTCATCTTTCGCTGTAAAGCTGCTATTCCTACAACTTCTACAAACGCTTCCTTACGTTCGCGATGTACTATCACTGGCACTACTAATTCCGCTTCACATTCTTCGGTTAACTGTAAATAAATAGATAATAATAAAATAATTAATTGTGTGATATTTTTTTATACCTAATTTAGGTAGGAATTTTCTTCATCTTTCACACTGCATGGTTGCGTTGGGGCACTGGATAGAAATAGAAGACCGGCTGCTGTAGTAAAAAAATTCAGTGCACACATACTGTACTGTATTCAGTGCATACAACAAAATACTTTATATTGTTAGGAAGATCGCTGAAAATTATAGTTACGTACGTAAGTATTGATTTTTATCTGTATTTCGCTACATGTATCATCAGTCAAGCTCATCACTAAATCCAAAATTTTTCCGGGATCACTATGTTGAATATTTTTGCGTCTAGGTTTTTTATGAGCCAATGTAGTCATTTTTTCGTTTTGTAATTTGTAAAGATGATATCAGATAAATAAGAGGGTTTTAAATTCAATCCACCTCAATAGCCAAAACACCTCAAAACTGACAGATACTCAGATACATATTTACGTTGCATACGTTTTGAATAGACCGCCTCTTTATCTGTCGACTGCCGCGCCGTTTTGGTAAAATTCAGCAAAATAAAAATTGTAATAAATAACAACATTAACATACGTGTACTTTTTTTATTATTTATAAGAATTATTTGGATATAACATAATAAAAAATTACAATCTTTTAATATTAAAACTTGTGTACAATTTGTTGTGTAAATCGAAACGTAGCGAAATTTAATCTGTGCTTTGCCTTTAAAAAAACAGCTGTTGACAGATGGATGATGAATTCGTATTTTGATGGTGAACTGGTAAATTAGTGAAATAGTTAAATAGGTTTAATAAATTACGTAGTAATGGCTGAAATACAGACACTTATCGAAATGGGATTCTCGAAAGACCGGGCGTGAGTAACAACTTTTATTTTTCATTGTACACCTACGGGGTTTATTCGGTAACCTATAATGTGGGATGATTTATTTGCATCTAGGGAGAAAGCTCTGGCGGTTACGAACTATAAGGGGGTGGAGCCAGCGATGGAGTGGCTACTGGCGCATGCTGATGACCCTGCAATGGACACTGGAGCGACGATTGGTACATCATCGAGCATGGAAGCCGCACCGGCTCCTGTCGCGGAATCATCCACTTCATCTCAGACCCCAGCCGGTACTGAGCCGGAACCCGAAGCGAAGTCATTCAAATGCGATGTTTGCGGCAAATTGCTCAAGAATCAGGATGAAATGGAGTACCACGCCGCGAAGACTGATCACAGTAGCTTCTCTGAGTCGACTGAAGAGAAGAAACCTCTGACTGAGGAGGAAAAGAAGGCTCAACTGATGCTACTCGAGGAGAGAATGAAACAGAAACGAAAAGAGAGAGAAGAAAAGGAAAAGGTGTGTTTTTCATCGTATTACAGTCCCCGGCACTTAACATTTTGTTACGTTTGTGAAGTTACATTTGTCTGATTATCACATGAATACACATGTAATTACAACTGTCTCCTAATAATTTCTTATTAGAATAGGCGAAGGCAAAAACAACAACCAATTAGAATTTTGGTGTACTTCTATCACATTATTTTTTATTCATATATTTTAGGCATTCATTAAAATTCATCAAAAGTTGAGTGGTAATTATTTGATAAGTCAAGTCAATAATTACACGAAAATTTTCAGGCTGAAGCATTAGAACGTGAGCGTATCCGGATCAAATCTGGCAAGGAGATGCAGGATGCCCGCCAAAGGCTGCAGGAGCAGGAGATGCAGAAGCTGGTGGAACAGCGGCGACGCGAGAAAATTGAGGATCAGAAGGCAAGGGAACGCGTCCGTGCTCAGATAGAAGCAGATAAACAGGCTCGGAAGTAAGATTGAAAAAAATTGTGTTTAAACATTTATTTATTTATTTATATATGCTTTATTTAACACATTTAAGTAGCCTAAGTAAAAAACAATTTAAGTAAATATGCATACAATGGGTGGTCTTATCACACAATGGAGAATTCTTCCAGACAACCTTTGGATGGAATTTTTATAAGAAATCAGATTTAGGGTAGTTTAGTGCAGAATAAAAACTAAAAAAGAAGAGTACCTACAGTAGATATATTACAGTAGCAATATAATAAAAATACACAAATATAAAAATGTACAATGCTCCATACTAAGATTTTCATGTTGCGGTTGACCATTTTTCATATAGCAATCAAACACACTGTGCTGTGACATTGCATAGTATTCAGTGCCTAGCCACTGCATTAACCCATAAATCCCCAAAGCGGTCACCAGTGACTGCTCTCCACTCCACTCCACGTTATAGACCTTATTTCCAATGTTTAGAGACTACTTTTGTATGAACAAATTTAGGGGATGATTTTTAACAATTTTCAACAGGTTAACATAGCATAGTTAGCTATGCTATGATATTTTTTGTAATTTTTTGCTGTAAACATTTATTTGAACGAAACTATGTATCACTGCTTTTCACTTTTCGCTTCCATCTTATTCATATTTTATACATTTCTTAGTTCTTTGAAGTGAAATGCCTTGATTTAATTTCCAGGTTAGCAGCAGGTGGCCAGCCCCCAGTAGTAGTGGCCCCTGCAGCAGTGGTGCCCCCGCCGAGTGCTCCGGCACCTAAAGTGGCATACGAGCAGGCACGCATACAGATCCGACTACCTGATGGCAAAGCACTCGCACATACATTTGGTGCCAAGGAACAACTAGCCGCAGTCAGGTACTAATTGAATCTTTTCATCTTATACAATAGTATAAGAGTATTATATAATAATATAAAGCGGAAGATTTTGTTTGTTTGTTTGTTTGTTTGAACATGCTAATCTCCGTAACTACAAATCTAATTTGAATAATTCTTTTGGTGTCGGATAGCGCATTTATCGAGGATGGCTATAGGCCATAAAACATCACGCTACGACCAATAGGAGCTGAGCAGAGCGTGTGAAACCGCGCGGAAGTAGCTAGTTTTGAATAAAAATGCTAGAGTTTACCCTTATTCTGTTTATCAGTGTTTTCATCAATCATTTTATGACATAAAAATTATAAGTACAAATAAAAATGCTTTATTGCATGCCACGATGTTTGATTTAGGTGGTAATGAACATTGTGGGCTGTGTCGGGCACAGCGAGGAAATGTAGTACTTGTAGTGTAGTCTTTCGAAATATCCATAAAAAGCATTAAAACAGAATTGAATTCTATTCAAATCTATTTAGAAATAAAAACATAAGATATCTTGCAATACTCAATGAAATTCGTACGTATTTAACATAAATAGTGATTTCGGGGAAAAACACGCGTGACGTAAGTATTTACGTAAAAATGGGTAGGTACTTAATAATAAAGAAATGTTATATGCAATATACCTACTGAAGTATCATTTTTATCTTGTACATTAATGGATTATAATCAAAGTGATAAACGATTTAGTGCTGAAAATTATAGACACTACAAAGTGCTTTCGAAAACTGCGATGGCTGATCGACAAAAGAATTGGGGAATCGCAAGAGCATCCTTTAAACTTAACCTGTCGCGGAGAACCTAACGGGTTACCGGGGCTCCGGCTCGACGTGCAGGAGAAGGAACGGGGTGGTTTTTAGTCAGTAAGAGTCTGACACTCCCTCCCGCCTCACCTAGGCGGGAGCAGTCATTCGATGATTTTCCCCCCTTAACATTAAAAAAAAACCCTTTAAACTTAACCTATCTGTAACCCTAAGCCAGGTGGTGTGTCGCGGAGAACCTAACGGGGAACCGGGGCTCCGGCTCGACGTGCAGGATAAGGAACGGGGTGGTTTTTAGTCAGTAAGAGTCTGACACTCCCTCCCGCCTCACCCGGGCGGGAGAAGTCATTGGATGATTTTCCCCCTCAAAAAAAGGCTTTTTTCAGCATTGGATATATTCCAGCTGCTAACAAAGTTCTTTGCTTTTGATCTCAAAACATTATTTGCAAAATAATTATTAACTTAATTAAAACTATCTTAATCCAAAACCGCAGGAATGGAATTCAGTTTTTGATAGATTTTGATTGAGGATGAATTGTGGGTGTTAATTTCCGTCGTAAATTAATAATTATATGTATACTAGCTGACCCGGCAAACTTCTTACCGCCTAAAAGGTTTTTCTCACCTTTTAAACCTTCCCTAGACTTCCACGAACCTATCAAGACCAAAATTAGCCAAATCAGTTCAGTCGGTCTCGAGTTTTAGCGAGACTAACGAAGAGAAATTCATTTTTATTTATATAGATAATAATTATATATAATTTACTAGCAAACCCGGCGAACTCCGTTTCGCCAACCGACGGCTTCGTTTTATGGAACATTCTTTGCTATAAACCTCATGCAGCCCAAGACCTTTCTAACGAATCCAAAACTGTGGAAATCGGTTCGTGCGTTCTGTTATAGCGTCAGGAAGGAAAACCCGACTTATTTTTATATAGTAGATAATATGCAGCCTTCCGCATGATCTATTCGAGAAAACGTCGACCAGTTTCGAGTCAAATGGGAAATCATAATATACAATTAATACTCTTTATTCCAGATTGTATCTACAAATGAACGCAGCTGAGTACGCCCAACAGGACAGTTTCAAGATGATGACCACATTCCCTAAGAAAATCTTCACCTCAGAAGACTATGACAAACCTTTGGATTTATTAGGTTTGTTGTAAATATTATTAACTTTTTTACGCGTTTGATCATTAAGAAAGGAGTCTGTATTACTCTCCATGCAGCCTCTATCTCCAGACAAAAATTATACCATAAAACCTGTTGCGATCTAAAAGGAAGTACAACAAAAAATGAATATCAGTATTTCCAATATGTGTGATGTGATAATGAAATATTAGATAATATTGCTACAGATTAATTGGGCCTTTTGGTTGAATTTTGCTTCCTTTTAAGTTTTTAATTCTGATATTGTCGTTTTTCTTGAAGAAAGGGCTCTGTAGTACTCTCCATGAAGCCTCTATCACCAGACAAAAATTATACCATAAAACCTGTTGCGATCTAAAAGGAAGAACAACAAAATACGAATATCAGTATTTCCAATATGTGTGATGTGATAATGAAATATTAGATAATATTGCTATACATTAATTGGGCCTTTTGGTTGAATTTTGCTTCCTTTAAAGTTTTTCGATTCTGATATTGTCGTTTTTCTTCAAAATGCTATAGAACCTGTTATTTTTTATCCGTATTTTCATAGTATACCAATAATCAAAACTCGATTGCGGAACCGAGATAGTCATTGAACTAAAATTGCTATGTTTTTGCGGTCAGAGTATCTTTTTTTAAACTGTCAAACACCGCGAGGACACCGGTGACCGGCCTATTGTTCTTTAATTGTGTCTATAATGACGGTACTCAATGTGTTAAGGGATAAACCGGTAAACGAGCAGGGTGCTTACTCTTGAAACTAATTACAATGTCAATGCAATTTCAATCCAGAAACTAATTACAATGTCAATGCAATTTCAATCCAGAAACTAATTACAATGTCAATGCAATTTCAATCCAATAAAATCTCAATAATTATTCAATGTTAAAACTATACAACCCCTATCGTGGTTATTAAAATAGCCTTCAGAGTATCCAATGTATGACGAAATTCATTACCCTTTCGTTCATTATATATCCACGCAATACGTGCAATGGGCGCTAGTGTTTCAACTGAAGAGTACAAAATTTCACAATACCAATGTCGGTCGATCTGAATTTGATTCAAGAGTAAGCCCCTGGCGGAACACTTGATAATAAGCAATCAGCGTCGCCCTTGATCACCTTAAACAAAGGCGTTACATGTGCGTGACCAGATTTAAGGATTTTTGGGGATTTAGGGGATGCAGATCACAGTAATACAAGTTCATACAAAACATTAAAAATAACATATTTTTCCAGGTCTAGTACCGTCAGCAGTGATCATAGTGTCGCGGGGACCTCAGTGAGCAGCCAAATAATTAATAATAAATTAATAAGTGATTGCCGACAGTACCGATGTCAGTTTATATCTGTAAGGGGTGAGGGGAGGCACTAAACTTCAATTAATTCATTCTCAAAGACTTGCTGGAAATAAAGTCTGTGTTGTGTATGTCATTGTTTCATTTTATATATTACTAGCTTCTGCACACGACTTCGTACGCGCAATCCCGTTTTCTCCCGTTCCTGTAGGATTTTCAATAAAAAAAATCAGTGAAATCGGTCTAGCCGTTCTCAAGTTATTTCGTGACTACGGGAAACGGGTTTCATTTATATAGAGGTATATATAGATTTTTAGTTATATGTAGCTGATTGGTAATATAATATCAAAATATATTAACCCTGAAAAAGGGTAACGCGGTGAGCAATTTTCCACACTAAATCTATCTAAATAAGAAGGAATTTCCATTCGTTAGTCTCGCTAAAACTCGAGCTGAACCGATTTGGCTAATTTTGGTCTTGAAATGTTCGTCGAAGTCCAGGGAAGGTTTCAAAGAAGAGAAAAGAAAAATTTGGCGCGAAGAATTTTGCCGGGTCAGCTAGTGTAATGTAATAAAATCAACATTTCTCTTTAAACTGTATTTATACATATTATAAAAATTCTAAAAACCACATTCAAAAATAGAACAATCATAATGAAATAATTTAGAAAATAAAAAAAATAACTAATAGTAAAGTTATTCACTTTATAATTATTTACCTCTATATATCTTGTTTTGGTATAATAATAATAAAAAAAGAATTGTAAAATATCAAAAACATTACAAAACATTGGGATGGGAGTTAACGTTCTTGATCACCTCAATAAAAACAAAACTGTCATCTTCACATAAAGTTTACCTCATCGCTCTCTAGATGGCGTTACGTGATCACTGAATCGCGGTGTTAAGATTTTCCTGCGAAACATGACCTACCGTGGTCAAGAATATATCGTCAAGTTCAAAAAGCGTGCAGTTGTAGACAGTGCCATGGCTCTTCTGTACAAGTGATTGTTGAGTGAGTTAGTAAGTAAATAGTGAATAAGTACAGTGAGTAAGTGAGAGGTTATTGAGGACTAAAACTCTACGATATATAGTGAGTGATCATAATAACATAAAGTGAGGAAGCGCCTGCGAAGGTAGTGCTGCAAGAAGGTACTCTTGCTCGCCTAGGAGTTTGCGCTTAGCAGGCTCCTAACGTTTTTTGGATTTACATACATTGATCGGTGTTGCTTCCAGAGCTTTGTGTCCTAGGATTCAATCCTCTGTTAGTCTATCTACCATGTCCGACTTACCGAATCAACGTGCACGTACGTTTGCGCAAGCGGTGTCATACAACGGTAATAGGGATTACGAACATGTGGAAAGATTCATAGCAAACGCTAAAAAGTACAAGGAAATGAAAAACTTATCTGAAATTGATGCTGTAAGAAGTTTGCCTTTTATTCTTAAGGAAGATGCAGCAACATGGTGGCAAAGAGTTAAAAATAAGATCGTAACTTGGAAAGATTTCGAATCTGAGTTACGAAAAGAATTTGCTCCTACGAAACCGGCTTACATCATTTACTCAGAAATTGGTCAACTGAAACAACAACCAGATGAATTAACGGAGCGGTTCGTAGCCAAGCATCGCGCCCTGTTCAACCAGTTGCCCGATCCACCATTACGCGAGGAAACACAGTTGGACATGATGTATGGCAATTTGCTTCCAAAGATTCAGGATCTGATTCCAAGGGAAACTATTCAATCATTTGATGGTTTATTGGAGGCTGCAAGAGGGATCGAACAGCAAAAAACTAAAGATACTGCGCAACCCAATGCTGGAACTGAAGTTCGGGCAGGTAAGAAAAGGACGCGCTGCAACTTTTGTAGAAATTTTGGCCACGCGGCAGATGTTTGTAGGAAGAAACAAAAGGTTGCGTCGGAAAACGGAGCGAATGTGACAAAGTCTGCGCCCAAGACTGTACCTGCTTCCGAGGAGCCGGCTAAATCTTCAGTGAACACACCAGCTGTTGAAGATTCTGAAGATAGCTCTAGTATTGCATTAATGATTAGACCCCGCCTGATGATTGAAATTAGTATTGGGACGGCACAGGAAATGGCGTTCATTGACACTGGTGCCAAAACGAGCGTCGCATCCCACAAGCTGTACAGCTACTTGAAGAACATTGGCTTTCATTTTCAAGAGGAGAATACAGTACTAACCTTGGCAGATGGAGTGCCGAAGCCTCAGAATATATTGACTGGCCGTATTCCCGTCAAACTGAAGGATCGCTGTATTCTCACAAAGTTTATAGTACTGCCTGATGCTTGCGACAATGATACGTTGCTTGGAGTCGATTTCATCATTGACGCTCGCATGAAAATAAACGAACCTCAGCTAGCGTGGAGTTTTAATGATGAACCCGACGTTCATTATGATTTAATCCAAGAAGGTTCTTAATTTGTATTTTGAGCTTTTGGTTCTGGACTTCGGCTTATTAAAGTTATGATAAGTATCGAATGTTGTACCTACTCATTTCTCTCTTGATACACTTCCCTGTGTACAAGAGTACACTTACACATACATTATTATAAGAGGAATGTAGATTTATCTACGATGCAAATGTAGACCTAAACACATTAACGACTATCTAACCCAACTAATTTTTAATTTTGCCAGTGTATTGGGAGCCAGTACATTATACTCACAAAATTAAAATCGAACTGGTTTGAAAGACAATATTAAATATTATAATACAGATTTAAGTAGGTAGATTAAAATCACATGTAAATAATCATTTTATAATTTATTCAGGCACATATAAAATTATAAAACTTGATCACATTAAAAAATATTATTAGGCTTACTTAATTTAGGAGTCTAATCAATATCAACGATTTTTAACTTTATTACAAGATAATAAAGTCAAAAGTGTATTAAATTGAAGAAATTAAGTTGCCTAGATTGGAATGATTTGAACATGCTAGATATTATACAGTGGCAGGATAAATAACATCTTCGTCACAGCTCATATCATCAATAACAGTGTTACAATCGATAAAGATATAGTGTGTATCAAAACACAAACGGATTTCTTTAATATACGAGATGTGATTTTTTAATTTTTGACAGACTATAAATGGTTGCTTTCCCGTTCTGCCTTCTACGGCACGAACGAATGCATGCGGACTGTACTTTTTGACATCGGACGGGAAGACTTGGGCGTCTTCTAACATGCCCTTGATCCAGTATTTAAGGTTCCACTCCACGCCCTTTTTGAAGTATCTGAACTGTGTGCTGAAAGGTTCCATGACGCTGGCGCAGGTGCCATGTCTGTTCCATTCGTGCTCCCATAAACTGTTGGGCATTGTACCTGTAAATAATTTGTTTTTATGTGAAAAGTGGTATTTAAGTAGTCGCTCTTAGTTCTTTTATATAAGTTCTCCCGCTTCTCTCCCATCTTCAAAACCCAATACCTATGAAGCCGGCGTCCTTAAGCGGCGATGATTAAGGACCGCTCACCCATTTCTCCCGCCTCACCCAGGCGGAAGAAATCATTCGACGACTTTCCCCCTTAAAAAAAAGCGGCGATGATTGCTTACCATCGAGTGTTCCGCTCTTTTGTCGCCCTATGCCATAATTAACTAATTAATCGGTCGTCTCTATTTACCTCTCCAGTAAATAAAAGATTAATGTAGGAAAATGCAAAAAATTACCTTCAAATATATTCATCCACGCCTGTTTCAGTTCAGGTTTTATGTCCCGGATTTCGTTTTCGTCAAACCTCCATGATTTATCGCAGTATTCTGGGAAGGTATCATCTTTCTTCCGCCATGGCCATATTCCATGTAGGGTCCATCGACCGTACGATGTGGGGAACACACAGCGGTTGGACCTTCGTTGTTGCATCCAATACTTGCAGTACGTGATCGGCCATTTTTGTGACAAGACTATCATGTCGAAATAATCGTCGTCTTTTACACTTGTGTCTTGAACAGCAGTTATGTAAGCGTAGTGCGTGCTAGGAATTGAAAGGGATTTTATTAATATGTTTGTAATAACAATTCACACATCAACAACCTAAAATAGACTATGGACATCTTATATTCTGATATAGGACCAAAGCAAAACTCTTGCTTTCCTTAAGTTTGCGGATAGAGAAAAAAACATAAACTTATTTTTTCAATTACATTCAATTAATAAAATCTACAAATGAGAGAACAAACACTCACCTTAAAAACACCAAAACTAATATATTACTTTTAAACATATCTTTAAAGTTTAATCGAAGAACAATGGTCACTAGTTAATTTTTAAACTCACAAAAATATTCTAAACTTCAATTAAATGAACGAAAAACTAATTTATAATTTAAAACTCAGCTATCCGACTATTACGGTCTACGTTCCAAGATGAATCCGACAAAATGATCTAATAATTACGTAACTTTCTTTATATATTGTGCTGATATTAATGTAGCTATGTTTAGCTATTTACCTCCTTGTTTTGATATCAACAGTTATTTTCACAAACACTTATATTCTAGGTATTTATTTTATACATTATCCTATTCACAGATGCCTTCGATGAAAATGTGTATTTATACAACAGATACATAAATAATTGATGAATAGAATTACTAGATACCTACCTACCACTGCTGTTGTTACAGTTGAAAGTACGACTGCTGGGCAACCTGCAGTTCCCAAATCCCCATGGCTCCATTAGGTATAGACTTTATTCCTTATGTTTAGAGACTACTTTTGTCTGAACCAATGTTGTGGATTTTTCGTACGATTTATCAAGTGAGGCCAGAGATCTCTCTACTACTAAGACGACTACTAGGCTATTCTGTGACTGCCAATTTGATCTTTCGAAGTGCGCTCGATCGCATACTCGCCCTTCATGGGTGGAGATTATTCTGATAATAACATTTTTGCCGTTCTTATTTCACTTGTTTCGCAAAGGATGACCGGCAGAAAATGTTGTTAGCATTAAGTCCTAATAAAAACATAATTTATTCTCACAAGTTCACAACCAATGACATGGCGGACCGGAGTTAAATTCAAAATACAAAATTTTGAGTTTATTGAACTGTAGATATAAAAAATATTTTTTATTGTGAAGAGTATAGTTAAATACTAACAAATTGTAGTGTTTAAAAATTGTAATTGAAAAATATAATAGACGCATTACTACCCCATAGAATTTTCAAAAGTTCCCCTCGGTTTCCCTAGGATCCCATCATCAGATCCAGACCTCATGGAAATGGGACCATCTCGGGAGATACCCTTTCAATCAAAACAAGAATTTTCGAAATCGGTTCACAAATGGCGGAGTACTGCGCGAACAAACAAAAAAAAAACAATCAGCCGAACATAGTACCTCCTCCTTTTTTTGAAGTCGGTAAAAAATACATTTTGATGTGTAATGGTACATAGGAGCCAAGCCAGTTAAAGTAAAGGTGCCCAGCAAGTTCATATTGGGTTCGATTCCCCAGAATATCTTTCGAGGTTTTCGGATTTTTAATAAATTCTAACATGTAATATAACGGAGTATAATACACCAGGCGAAATAGTGGCCAAACATCGGCTCATCAAATACAAAAATAGTCTATCAATGTGTGATTCATAAACTGGCGTTATATTAATGTTAATCTGTGCATCTCTACTTATCCTTTCAGGGACTTAAGTGATTTTACTTTGTTATTTTCATGCTACTAGTTAACCTTTCTAAAATTTTCAGGAACAAAAATAAAAGCAATATTTTATAGAAATAAAACATTTTAATACACAAACATAATATCAAGTATTTATCAATACAAAAATACAATGAAGTTAAAATTATATTTGCTTTGCTAATATTCATTCAGAGAGCAAGGCAAACCAAAATATCTGTGAGGTTCATTACCAAAAAAAAAAGACAGGAAGTATTTTTTATAGTTGATTATCTCTAGATAGAGATGCTATTTTGACCGTCCACTTTGCACTAGGTCGCCCGTAAACGACAGTGGCGCCGTTTAACAAGAACTAAAACGAAAGCTCATTTTTTATTTCTATCAACAATTACATAAAAAATATACACATTTATTACCCCAAATAACATTTAAAAATTTTAAGTAAGTATGTATACAATATTTTTATTAATTTGTACAATTCATAGAAAAATATTATGCTATTTTAATACATATGTGTTATATAAACCTACTTATTCACTATCAGTAGAATATTATGATTATTTTAGCTATATCTTTGCATAAACAATAGATTTAGTAAACAGTCGACATTCATTCTAGTATGTATTATAAGAAAGAAAATAATTACATTCTTTAGGGCGTTCTTATGCGTCGCAATGGCTTACCAATTACTTACTTATTAATTTGCAATTAGCTTAACCAACAGTTTCTCCACATTTTGCAAGACAGAAAATCAACTTCTGTACTTGAGGTGATTGAATAAGGCACTGATTCAACTATAAAGGCACTGCTCTTGGTAGTATTTAAGAAAAAGAAAGACGATATAGTTGAAATAAAAATATATACATGTATTCAAAAACCCAAAATAATATTTATAATTAATTATAATATTATCATAATATAAACTACATTGGCCATGTGTTAACTTCCGCCAATGAAAATGGGAAAAGAACTTAACGATAAAATAAATTGAATAAATTATATTAAAAACTTATTTGGGTAAAAAGTAGACATGCTTCTTTTGATAGAGGGTTGCCATAAGCGACTGCAGCGCCACTGACGATTTTTATCAGTTGACTAACAGCCCGCCTCCGCTTTGTACAGGAGTTAACAAAATAAGCCCAGCGGATGACCAATGGATATCGGTATTGTTTTAATGATAAATGTGGGAGTCCGATTGTGATATACAATTTTAATTCGTTCAAAAATCACAAGTCTACTCCGCGCCCAGATAGTGACATTTATTTAATAATTGCACTGTATTTAAGTACACAAAATTAGAATCTCATAATTAAATTAATAGAAAAAAACTAAAAAGAAATCTTAATATCATTCTACAAAGGTTCCAAATTATTAAATCAATATAATTATGATAACAATCAAATAAGACTAACTTGGAACCAATGTTTTACATATAAAAAATAAGAAAATAGCTAGAAATTTGTACCACCTCAGAGTTAAAATAAAAGTATCAAAATAATCTTCAATTAACTATAAAATTAACCTTTAGACTGGTATGATCTATCTACTTGATGTTACCCATTCTGCAATGATTCAAGCTTTCTAAGATTGGTTGCGTAAGGGTTCCCATAGCGTTTTACACAAAACATATTTACATGAAACCTACATTCCATTTGATATTTTAAATATAAAAATGAAAAATTTGGCACAATAATAGAGTAAAAACGAATAGAATTTTGATCATACACAGTCAAGATTTTAGTATAATTTTATTATAATTGGCAACATTTACATTTACAAACAACACTGTTATAAAATGTTGCCATATTAAGTAGCATTGCCAAGCTGATAACTGTTATATACAAAATAAAATTATAAAGCAATCAGTTTCTAATATCATGTTGAGATTTACAGTTACGATGATTTGAGAAACATCCAGTAAAAAAGTTTAAAAAATATACTATTTATGTAACAGTTTGTAGGCAATGTATAACTTATCAAGCAGAAGAATGAACAAAATTAAAATAATGACATGAAGTCTTCAAATCTCTACAAGGTGACATTATGCCTTTTAATCAAATGGAGATTGCTCTATACAAGGCATAGTACTCATAACTATCAAAAAACTAAAATTACAAAGTAAACCATTGCAACCAGTTAACAAACTTATGCAATTGAACTATCTGCAGATTGGCAGGAGGTAACGCAGTGGGATAAATAATATTTTTTGCAATATTACAGTTGGTCAACACACCGTTAACTTCATGCTCACCCTCACACTCTTTAAGGTTCAGTTGTTTGTCGAAGCAAATTCGGAGCTCTATTAAATACTGCACTCCGTCTTCGAACTCACACGCAATGAATGGCCGTACACCAATCTTGGAAACAACAGTGGCACTTACATCTTCAGCTTTTACTGGATTTGTATCCGACGGTACGATGTTGGCACTAGTGAGGATATCATTCATATGGTATTGGTTGAGGAAATCAATGCCTTTGCTGAAATATTTCAGTTGCGTGTTCAACGGTTCTATCATAGCCGCACAAGTACCATGTTTGTTCCATTCATGGGCCCATAAATTGTAGAGTGATGTTTCTGGAATGTTATAGAACATATAATTAATTATTGCTTGAATTAAATGCTGTATTTTCCTCCGTTATTTAGATATCATACCTATATTTTAAGCCACATTTTAAAATGATAATAAATTATAAGGAAAATATAATTATTATAAAACTCCTTATTTATTTAACTTGTCGAGTACCGTCATTATAGGTTATAGAACAATAGGTTGCTGTCACCGGTGACCGCTTGGTGTTTGACAGTTAAATGGCATTTACATTAATAATTACAGTAGAATACCTAATTTATACTTACTAAACAACCATAAAAGATATCAATACATATACATTTTGAATTCTATATAAAACATACTTTTTTTTAAGTTCTTAAGAAAGTCATGTTTAGTTCAGTTTGTCTTAAATTTTGATATTTTTTAGTGTCAGATATGTACAACTACTGCGTCATTGTCAGTAAATTGTTTATGCAAATTATGAATTAGCAGTAATTTTATTGCATGACTCACACATTTATAAATAAGCAATCAAAATAGATAACAAAAGAATTATACAAATAATTGCGTATGGTAAAGTACCTAGCTATTGCAATTTTCAAGTATTCATGGAATTATCTGGTATAACAAACTGATATTAAAGTAATGAACTAACTAACTAAACACAAGTAAGTATGTTATTTAATTTATTTTTTATGAATTTTAAACAAAATACAAGCAACAGTTAATTCACATTCAATTCAGCAATTTTAAATGTTGTACAACACTAGGCATTTATGCTGTGGGTGCTTTTACACATTATAAACACTTAATTTTACATGCATATCACACCTAAATATGGAGCAACCATTTGTGGATGTGGATGGCACAATGAGAACTAAAGCTGCAACAAGTCAGTTTGCCGAGCCACTGCACCAATCATGTAGTCAATTCAACTTGAAGGGATTTTATTTTCAAATGAATTTTGTAATAGTAAGGTTACCTTTTTCAATATTCGTCCAGGCCTGCTCCAATTCACTTTCAATAGGCCTCACCTGCTCCGGATCAAAAAGCCAAGTTGTGTTACAATTAAACGGTCCTTTTGTTCCAGCCTTAGTAGGCCAAATGCCATGAACAGTCCATGAATCAGCTTTTTTAGGGTAAACGCAGTGGTGATTTGGCTTATTGTGTGTCCAGACTTTACACATGGAGCTAGGCCATTGTTGAGTGAATATTAGAAAATCCCACTCTTTTTCAGCATGAGTCCTGGTATAGCTTCGATACTGATGAGCCAAATCAAAGCTGCAAAGGTCAAGGTCACATATAGGCCGAATATTATATTACTTTTACTTTGTTTTTAATTTAATTAAAAAAACAACTTACCACAGATATAATACCAGCACCGAAATTAGTTTAGACATTTTTATATAGTGAATAAATGTGTCCTTTTTCTATTTGAACCTCAAATCACTATGTGAAGTTGTTAAATAAGCACAAAATAATATTTTATTTTCTCATTTCTTCACGTACACATCAACTATCAAAATATAACATCTTTCATAAACTGTCAATGTCAAACTCAAATTCTACTGTCTATCTGTTAAAATGTTTCGTTCAAAACTAAACAACCTTATTTCAATAATTTATTTAGTTAGAGTAACAAAATTGTGATTGATAAGCTAAGCTTGAATATGTATTTTTTTCTATGAAAACATTAATTAAAATATCGTTTTCTTGTAATTAATGCATACTCTAAGTATTTTCAAGCAGATAGGCAGGTAACATTATAGTTTCAACTAATATCACTAGATGGTGTTAGAGTATCCAAAATACAATCGAGTTTATGGTGCAGATGAAGTCGCGGAGAACCTAGGTTTTTAGTCAGTAAGACTCTGAGGCTGGAGGGACCAGCCTCACCCAGCCGGGAGAAGTCATTCAATGATTTTTCCCCCTTAAAAAAAGGGTACAGATAAAATGAGCGAAAATGGGAACTGTAATCATCAGTCAAATATCCAGATAAGTAATTTAGTGCATAAAATGCAATCAATAGATAATTTTTGATATTATATGGTTTTTTGCTGCTATTGTCTCATTTTTAGGCCAGTACTTTTTACACACTATGTAAGTACTTATTTATGTAATTGAATATTGATTTTGAGTATCTCTACGAGGTTTATAAAAGTAAGAGAAAAATTCTTTTTCTAAGAAGTTTTCTACAGATTCATATAGCCCACTCGACAGAGATCGTTCTAAAAGAAATATCATAATTTTAATTTATATCAGTGGTTCAGTCCATCCCCATCTATTGCTGGACATGGGATTTTCCAATACCAATAGGATGCTAGTAGGTTAGATTTTTAGCCCGCTAACCACCCACTGCCACCCACTAGGTGGATATAGCCTTTCCACCTAGCTGGAGGGCGTCCTAACCCTTCAAGTTTTCTACTGTACCTAAGTAGTCCAGGAGTCTTACAATAATCCTAACATAACATTGGCCTAGGCAAAAAATTTTTATAGAAACTTCCTAGTTATTATCTTGTCCCTCAACAAAACGGGCGCTGACCTAGGCTTTTTTTCGCAATACCGTTGTCGAGTAACCTCATTTCGAGTTTTTCTGCCCGTCACTCGGTCCGATGCACCAATGAAAAAAGGCGTTCGCGTGTTTTACGATACACTGGTTAAGTATTGCCACATTACCACAGATGCATTATGGAGCTCGGTATGATCGTAATTAGTGGCGCGCGCCATCCGACAGACGAGCCGCGCCGAGCCAACTATCCCGAGTTGCCAGATGCCAGGTGGTGACTTGGTGAGTTGAGTTTAATAATCGAAAACCTGTTACGGTTTTATTTGTTCGATGAGAATTACCTACCTACCTTTGTGGGGAATTCTTGCGGCCCTAAGGATTTTATGCGCATTCCTTTGGTGTAATTAAACGCAGAAATTTCATTTAATAAAGAGATGGACCTAGCGACCTAGGGATGAAGAATAAAAATAATTTACAAATAAGAAATTAAGCGCTTAACTATAATACACGCTCTCTAGAGGGTGGGATAGACCCCCACACATTTTCCTACGTGGAATCATAATCATTTTAAACAACTTAGATAATGTATCGCTGAAATATTTCCCCTAATATGGGCAAATATATAAACTAGCAACATTGCTAAATTTCCTAGTCAAGAATTTAACAGTTGCATTCTGATACACAATAATTATTTTCACATAAAACGTGCAACACTGGCAGAACACGAAGAAGGTTGCTTGCTTTATTTTTCTTCAATAAACTTTGATTTATTACCTGTGTCTATTAAAAAAAGAGTCGTTTCTTCTATTCCTATAAATCGGGGTTTTAACTTTAGGTACTTAATAAAAAAAATTTAATTACAATCTACATATTTGATTATATCAACTTAACTTTGTTTGAAAGTATACTCCTAACTAAACTGCAAACTCAACAATCGAATAGCAATTTCTAAAAAAGAATTCGCTCAATTCGTTCGCGAGTTGCGAATCAAGATAAATTAATGTTTAGGGCACCTTGCAGGCCCAATGTCATCGGTTCGACGACTCGATGCCCGTGACCCTTCGCAAGATAAATGCCTACCTATAGCACTTATGCTCCTACGCAATACCGATTCGAGTGACAATTTTCCAATAAAAAGCTTGTATACATCGTCTTTAAATGGATTGTCCCTGGTCTTTGTGTAATAAGGAATACTAATTTACTATATATTGTAGTACCTATAGTGTGGTATAGCAATTACTTTATCGTAATTTGTTGTACGAATTCTCTCCCACGTTGTTTTGTGACGGTTTATAAACTATTTGCTAGTTTTTAAATCATTTCACGTGCTATGAACCTTTTTGAGATTAGTATTTTTTTTTTTAATAGCATAAGAAGGCAAACGAGCGAGATCACCTGATGGTTAGCGATCAGCGCCACCCGTAACACCAGAGGAGTCACAGGTGCGTTGCCGGCCTTTTAAAAAGGAATACCCTCTTTTCTTGAAGGTTTGAAGGTCGTGTCGGTTCGGAAATACCGCCGTGTGTTAAAGCTCAGTTAGTGTTAAAGCTTTTAGTAAAACTGTGTGGAGCTGGTGTCTATAGTCCTTATCACTACATAGTATAAAACAAAGTCGCTATCCGCCGTCTGTCTGTCCCTATGTATGCTTAGATCTTTAAAACTACGCAACGGATTCTGATGCGGTTTTTTTAATAGATAGAGTGATTCATCATCAATATCAATACATAGTATAAAACAAAGTCGCTTTCGCTGTATGTCCGTATGTATGCTTAGATCTTTAAAACTACGCAACGGATTTTGATGCGGTTTTTTTTAATAGATAGAGTGATTCTTAAGGAAGGTTTGTATGTATAAAACGTGCATATTGCACCCGTGCGAAGCCGGGGCGGGTCGCTAGTAATATGTATAATACATGCATATTGCACGCTTGCGAAGCCGGGGTGGGTCGCTAGTTTACCTATAAAGATGTTAGAAGTTAGAGTCCTTGAACATCTACTAACACCACTTATCAAAATGTTTTGGAATTTCAATGGAAAGTACCTGTGTGTTTATTAAAGGAATGATTTCTCAAATCCTTTTGCTACGGTGACACTGTATCAAAGCTGTCGGTAAAAATGTGCGATGTCTATAGTCTGAACTGAAACTAACAGTTATGTTAATGTTATGTTATGTTATCTACTCCATGAAGTGCTTATTGATTTTGCTATTTAAATTAACAGTATAATAAGTAGGTCCGAAGACCCAATTACCCCACCCCCTTTCCCAATCTCTGAATCCCCAACAATCCTCAAATTTCTAATCCCAAAGGGCCGGTAACGCACTTGTAACGCCCCTAGTGTTCTAGGTGTCCATGGCCGACGCCGATTGCTTACTATCAGGTGATCCGCCTGCTAGTTTACCGGTTTTTTCCATAAGAAAAGGTACCTACCGGAAAATCGTAAAGAAAATATGCGCCTCCCTTTATTTAAAAATAAGATTTTAATTTAAGATGAGTAAATAATAATTATATTACCATTATGCACAATAAAATACCGTTTATAATTATCATGGCCGTTTTTACTTTTATTTTACCGTTTACTAAATAAACGGCGATGATAGATAGGTAGACATTTTATTTGCATGCGAAACCAGCTTTTTCTGTTATAAATAAGTACATACTTACTTTCTTTTTTTAATCAGACACGCCAAGTCCCGGAAAATGAACTATTGTCGAACTTCTAAAGTAACAATCTAATACCAAATATTTCGACCAAACCCGGTATTTTTAAAATTTATAACCTGCAAATGGTTGACAACGAACTTGTAACTCAGTGTGTTGCGGGTACCTACCCATTGGGGCGGCGACTGACTACGACGACGAACTTACCATCAAGATCACCTGATGTTGCACAAGCAGCACAAGCATATGGATCAGCATTTGCTCGTTTGTCGGCCCAGCACAGTGGCCTAACAGGTTACCAGTGTTTCGGCTCAAAGCAAAGCAAAGTAGGAACAGAGTTTTTAGGGAGGGAAAATCACCTAAAATCATCAGAATCAGGGTGGCTGTTAGACAGTAAGAGGCTGACACTCCCAAGGCTTAGACGAAATCCTATCCGTAAAAAATATAACTCAATAATCTTACTATGAAAGAACAAGAAAGAAAAACAGTTTCTTTGCATCGTTACATAAAATAGAAACGAGAAAAATACATACATATAAACTATTTTAATACAATACACGAAACGAATAAAGTTAGTCCATAAATCATTCAAAAATAAACTAGATTACTAACACAAAATAATGTAGGAATATTAAGTCAGCAAGGCTTTCAGACTGTCACTCGGGTACAATACCCAGAAGCATGTCTTCTGCAAACGAAGGAAGTGATTGTATATTTTCTAACACGCAATCGTTTTCCTAACCGGAGACCTAGTTTCTTTTTAATAATTATCAGCGTTTTATATGGTTTATCTTGACTTTTATTGTGTTTTTTTTTTAGTTGTGGTGGTCGTTAAAATGTTTGGAAAAGTTCGTTGGTTATTTGTTACAATTATTTCACTTCCCTTCAATAAAAAGTCATATATTTATTTTTTATCTATACATTACTCCTTCGTTTTTTTAATGGCTTGTGCCATATCCACCTAAAATGCGCTGCAGCTCCTGTAAGTCAAAGTCTACAGTAGATACGACCATGAAAACACCGGAACACTGAGGTCCGTCGCATCCCAGAGACATGAAGAACTGTCTTGGATCCCGCATCGAAACACCTATATCAGAAAATACTTTTAGAGGTGAAGAAAAAACAAAATTTCTTTTTTTAAATAAAATTCTAATAATCAATTCAAATATCAATGAGCTAATTAAATGCTAAAAAGAAATCATAATTCCTACGTCCTAACTACACCCTTTATTGCGTACCACAACAGATCGCAGTTGAACCACAAAACCATAAACAATACAACTCACTCGCAACACAAGAGAGGAATGCACTCCCTTTAAATTGCATCTAGCTAGATCATTTTACGGGGCGGCCATTGCTCTTGATCGCATTAAAAATTAATG